AAAACAAGTGAGCTGGTAGTTTATGGCTTTCCAAGCCTCCCAGATTGATTGCTTCAGTTGTTTCTTTTATGCATATTTTTCACTGATCATCAGGCTGGAGGTTAAATGAATACACGTGCCATGTGCATAGTAATCCTGACATCATTTTACCTGATGATTTATACTTTTCTTTGTTCTCACAGGAGTGGCTCCAATGATGGCGAAGTCCTTGAAGGCATTTAAGAAACAGCTCGGACGTAGATAAGTGTTTATACAATGCTACGGTGTGGATGTGCACAACATGAACTCGATCAATGATTAACTCTGGGCAGTAATAAGCCTGTGTTCACTTTAGATTATTCTGTGTTGCTTGTCTATATGTACTGTGATCAGGCAGTGCCATGTTTCTTTTCTGCAAGTTGTCTTCACTATTAAATGGGCCATGAAGTCAGCAAATTTACTTGGCTTTGATTTTGTCTCTGTTTAAGGGGAACAAGGTCATCCATTTAATGGCATTTGGTGCCCTCTAGAGGATATTTTGTTAAATATTTTTCTCTTTTGAAATTGGAGAGTTCATAGTCGTATTATATGGGCATTTTGACATTACTGATATCATATCTCTCAGCTCTTGCAGGACTATAAATTCAAAACTGAATCCAAATGTAGCAAACGTGTCAACTTTATGTGCGGTACTGTGCAGTCTTGAGATATCCCTGATTTATTAATATTTTGCTCCAAAGAGCTAAAGCTGGACTCTGTTCTAGTTTTTTTTCTTTTTTTTCTTTTAAAGTGGTCTTGAGCAATAGTTGACAGAAGCCATTTCAACAGACAAAAATAATGGCTGCTTTCTTTGCTCATTTTGAATCCAGTAACCACTTTCAGAGGAATGTTTTGTCTAAATCACTTAACGCTGACCTGTGACTCATCCAGTTACAAAAAAGGCAGAAAACTCATGGGATGAACCAATGTTGTGCCTGCACATAACAGTTTTAATTTGGGTCTTTAGGCACTTTTCTTTGGTCAAATCTGCAAAAAATTCCAAGGTTGGTTTTGTTGGGGAAAATGGTATTTATGCACAAGCAAAGGTTTCCAAAATGTTCTTTGCTGAAAATGTGGTATATCACTGCATGGCGTTCTTATAAAACACACAGGATACTGGACAGATGGAAGATGGCCCTTCAGTTTGATTCATCTGTTTACTGAAGCCTCACTAGGCATGTCTGTGCAAAGGGTGTCTGTCAAGAAGTCATTAAGAAAGGGAGATGGGGAGAAAAGTCAAGAATTGGACTGCAACAGGTCTTATGGTGAGTGCAAATGTGAAACCTTTGGATTAAATGGTCAGTATATACGGAGGTCAGAGAGGTACGACAGTTACTACAGTCCTCTGTAAAACAAGGTGGAGGATCTATCTTGGTTCAGGGTTGCATTTCAGCCAGTGGTGTTGGATCTTGTCAAGGATGAAATTTTCATCACAGCAAAGTGCAGATTGTGATCCACCATGACCAATGATCCCAAACATACTGCCAATACGGTGAAAGCATACCTGGATTCAAAAACACACAATACGTCCCCAGAACCTGGACTTTATAGAAGCAGTGTGTCAGTGCGCCCCAGGGCAGCTGTGGCTACAATGTAGCTTGCTATCGCCAGTGTGTGAATGTGCGTGTGAATGGGTGAATGACTGAATGTAGTGTAAAGCGCTTTGGGGTCCTATGGACTAGAAAAGCGCTATACAAATGCAGGCCATTTACCATTTACCATCATCTTGGCAGAGAATGGAACAAACGGAAACTCTGAGGGTTAATGAAGCAGTCCTTCCACAAGAGGACCAAATAAATAAGACAAATGGAGCTGATGCTGACCCTTAGAAGGATATAATCAAGGGATTATTTGTCATACTCCGCACATTCCTCAAGTCTGACCTCGGCGAAGTAGCAGAGGGCAAAAGATGGCTGCAGCACAATGATTCACACTTGTGCAAACAAACTGTTAATGTTTCTGCATCTTCATCAAAGTCAAAGTGCACAAAGCCATTGTAGTTGACCTAAACCAGGTATATAGCTGTCA